TTAAATTGAGTTTGAACATTTCTTACTAAAAAAATTACCTCAAGGTTCGTATCATGTCTCAAGATTTGTGTCGGATGATGAAAATTTATTGATGGTGTATCACTTGTATTATATTATCATGTCAACTTATAAAAAATTTGTGTTGGAGACCTACATAGCACCTCATATCTCTCCAAGTATTTAGAATAAGAAAATATTTTTTTATTACTACAAAATATTTCTCTCTATGATTGATCTCTCTGGTTATGCCTTATCACTAACATAAATTTTTAATACTAAGAAAAATTATACATGAAATAAGCTCAATTGTGTAGTTAAATACATAGAATAAAATTTGCTCTTTAAATAAATAGCTTTAAAATAATTTGCTCTTTTTTAATTAAGTAAATGATTAGTTAAACCATGGTCGTGAAAATTTATAGGAGGAAATACCTTTCATCTAATGCAAAATAATTATAATAATATTATTTAATCCAAACTTGGGGTAAATATGTAGATATCTTCTTTTAGAATATGGACACGTAGTTCACAGTTCACTGTTTACTTTGATATCAACCGAGTTTTATTGTCCTTGTAGTTTACTTTTGGATTTATCAAGATCTACCCAGTTTCCAATAAAATTATTATAGATTTTTTCTATCTACATTAAATTTAAATAATGAGGCAATAAATTATGCTTAATAATTCAAGTCAAAAAGAAAGTTTTATTTTTTTCATTTTTATAGAATCATGTCGTTGTTGAGTCATTTCTATATTATATACTCTTTTTAGTATTTTTATCTAGCTTTATTGAATTTACTAAGAGTGATTTTTATTCTATATTCTTTGAAAAAAGTTAACTTCCATTAATCCTTATAGGCACATATCAATCGGTCTCCTTTATGTTATTAAGAAAATATTTCCAATGACAAAGGATATGTTTTTCTTCAGATGACTTGTGCAGATGAATTTCTTACTTCCGTATAACTATAAATATTATATATATATATATATATATAGATATATATCCATTACTTCGAACAATAGACCAAAGATATCTAAACATTCAAATATTCAAATGACTTGAGCACTCATTATTATTAACTCGCCGACACGAGCACTCATTATTATTAACCCGCCACTAGATCTACTAATACTTATAAAATTACCTTCCAAATATTTAGTTTTAGCAAATGAAAATTTTAGAATCTAAAGTTGACCTCCATAATTCGAGCTTTTCTTGAACTCTCTCTCTAATCTTATCCACAAGGACATTATCAACTTAAAGCATAAACTAACACACATCCTCCTATAAATATCCAGTAGGAAAATACATAAGGCAAAAAGATATGAGCCTAAAGCAGACCATAGATGTATATTAGGTCAATTCTTTTTGTATTTGAACACAAGAAACAGCTCTAATATACATATCTTTAATGACTTGAATATCAATAATATCAACATCTTTTTGTAAAGAACTCTCCAAAGTATTTCTCTTGGAACGTTATCATAATATTTTTTTCCAAATAAAAAAAAATCATGTAGATTCTCCTTACTCTTCTTATATTTCTCCATCAAACCTCTCAATAAATGGATAGCTTTCATAGTAAAATTTGCCCTGCATGAATCGAAACTAAGTTTGAGAAATTTTTGTATCACGTTGTAAGTTATTTTCAATTACTCTCTGGCATAACTTTGATGTATGCAACATTAACTTAATTTTTCTATAATTTGTAAACTCTTGTGCATCATTTTGTTCTTAAGAATAAGAATCAATAGAGTTTTTCTCCACTTATAGGGCATCTTTTTAATTTTTAAAGTAATATTTAAAAAATTTAGTAAGCCAAAACATTCTAAGATAGAATATTTTCGCACTATTATTATAATACCATCCAGTCCTACTGCTTCGTTATACTTCATTTTTGTTAAAGCATTCTTAACTTTTATTTTATTAATGCGACGGTAGAAATAAAAAATTATCATTATTTATGATACTAAAATCATTAAAGTTAATCGTATTTTCATAATCTTTATTAAAAAGTTAATTGAAATATTTCACCCACCTACGCTGAATATTCTCATCGAAGGAAATCACTTTTTTTTATCCTTAAGATACCTTACTTGAGTTAAATTTTTACTTCCATCATTTCTTTATCTGACTACTTTATACATATATCTTTTGCCCTCTATAGTATCTAGTCAATTATAAATATCACAAAAAATAAAATTCTTAATATCACAAATTATTTTCCTAGAATCCCTGCGGGCCATCTTATGTTTTCTGATTTTTCAAGTTTTTACATTTAAAATAAGTTTTATAACAAAACTTTTTATTTTTTTATATTTTCTAGAACATTACTATTCCGTATCAACTATTTTATTCACAGGAGTTTTTTTTTTTTTTATTCTTCGACCAAATCTTTTACAACTTATTTAATAATACTTGCTAGTTCAACAAATAAAGTATTAGGTTCTTCATTAACATCTCAAATTTTATGCTCTTGAAGTTTACTAATAAAAATATTTTTATTAACATCTTTTAAATGTCCTCCTATAATTCTACAACAATATTTCATTATATATTTTTTTTAATTTTTTCAACGCTTCAACTTAAAATCAAAACAAATAATCGATGTTTGAGTACTTAAATTTTTACTTAGAATGAATTTACAATCTTTATAATCTCAACAATATATTTTTCTCATAAGAAAATAATTAATTTTGTGTTTTATTGAATCAATTTTTATAAGTGATAATATGCTCATCTCTTTTTTAAATAAATAATTACCAATAACAAAATCAAAAGCTAAAACAAAATATAATATGGCTCTACATTATTAGTCACTCCAAAACTATAGCCACCATGAATACTTCTAAAATCTTCAACACTCTACCAACATATCTATTTAAATATCTTCCAATAAAAATTCTTCCTTCAAGGGGCATTTAAATATCTTCCAATAAAAATTCTTTCTTCAAGGGGTATTATTTGTATTAATCATTCTAAATCATTTAATTTTTTTCTTTTAAACATATATCCAAACCTACTTAGAGAACATAAAAAATATAATATTAAGAATCTTAGTATCAAAAATAAACTTTAGATCTATGATTTTATCTCCAATTCTAATATTTTTTATAGCATTAACTTTCAAACTCATATATAATTGCAACTACACCATTTCTAGTAATGGTAATTTAGATGTGTCGCATAGAAGTATTTGGGCACTGACCTCTTAACAGTTACATTTAAAAATTGTCTCAAGTTGTGAGATTTTTAAAATTATGGAGTCTATAATTTTCTTATCAAATCTCATAGAGATATCATTGAGGTTTCCTATTTACTACAAATCATATATTGAGATTTATAAAAATATGTTGAATATTTATTGTGAGCTATGTCATGATTTGTTAACTTCAAGATATCTTTTCAAATAGTGTACGATCAAGTAACTAATTCAATATTTTCAAACTAGAGTTGTATTATTATTAAAACAAAGTCAAAGATGAAATCTAGCATCCCATAGAAGTATGAAAATAAAGAGAATTGCACAAGGACGAAATCAGTTTCATTTCATTAGCAAGAAAATGGGGGTTTGGTTGACTTCTATTCAACAAAATAACAAAAGTTTAACATATGTCTTTGTTTTAGGAAGAAAGAAGTTTGTATGAACCTTCTTCATTGACTTCCTACTTTCACAAACTCTGTCCTCAACTTAAAAACATATTCAATGATTTTTTAGCGCCAACTATACTGGATTTATCATTTCTCTTCATCCAGTATAATAAATGGATATCATTTCACAAAGTGGTAACAAAACCAGCTCTTATGAATGAAGACAAATCCAAGATTTATCCTTTATAAAACATAGTAAAACTGTGATATTTGTGTAGCCATAGACATAAGTTGATCCCGCAAACTATATGAGATTGTGCGTCCTACTTTTGTGATCATTGTTATGTTTGTTTTCATTTTCAATTGATTTTTTGCTTGAAATTGTATTAATAACTTAACACTATAGTTCCCAAGTGGGTGCGTCAACAGCTATGACCTCTATCTAGCATTATCTTCTAGTCATGTAGTTGGTGAGGAGCTGATCCCTTACCGCTAAAGCATCCCTTTGCTGCACATATGCTTCGATAAGCCATGCTTATAGGCCTAGGTCATTACTAGAGGTGGACGTTGCCGTAACCACCGGTTGGTTAGATGTGGCATTGTTGGTGCCAAAAAGCACATAAAGAGAATTCTTTATCTCACACTAAATTTAGGATGGCCTAGCTTAAGCTAAGGGAATGATTTCCACTAGCCTAGGCAAGTTCACGACAAGTCAATTTGGCTTGTTTTTTATCCTACCAGAACTACCTAGTGCCTAAGTAATGGGTGTAACTTTTTGTCACTTCATCATTTTCTACCTCCCTTCCAGCTTAAACGCTAAAGTTTAAATGCATATAAGAGCTTTATGAAAATACGTAGTTTAATATGAGGTGCCATTACACCATGACAAAGTATCTACCCCACAAATATTAATTTCTCTCGTAGTTTAATATGAGGTGCCATTACACCATGACAATGTATCTACCCCACAATATATGTAGGTAGAAAAGTTACTTCAACTCCATTGTTGAGGAGGTAATACGAATGAATGGTTTTGAATAACTCGAAATTTATAATCATAAAAGCATTTCACATTACTACAAAGATTATTCAGCATTGGCAATGTAAAAAGTAGAAGAATGATTTCTAATGACAAATATGCGTTGAGGTGATGAAAATATGATGCTCAAGAGAAACGATAAATATTCCTCTTCAAGGTCTTCCTACTTTGGAAGAAATATTGAGATGCAAAGACTAGAACTGTATTTCATTTACAATGACCAATGAATTTTAAAATAGAAACAACAAATTTGCAAATCAGTAGTAAGATTACTTATATCTATGATGTTTTTGAGGCTTTCTATATCATGTATTCATGAGAACTGCATATGCTTTGATTCTTCATAAGAGAAAAAAAATTCAACATTGACCTCAAAAGTTTAAATCATAACTCTTAAATCAAAATAAGCGCATATAACCAACAACAGATACATTATCTCAGGCATTCCATCAACCAATGGCAAATATTCTACGAATCCAAATTTCCACAAAGCAAAAGTAAAATAACCGACAAAATATGAAAATCTTAGGTTCTTTCCCATCTTACTTTGCCTCTCCCGCTACATCCTGCTCAACCTAGTTCTGGAATTGTGATCTCCCCTGCGACTGGAGCGGCAGGTCGAGGACCAAAGAGGGTAGAGGCTCGGCGGGCTTGGTAGCATTGCGGGAGAGAACAGGAGTGGCGATGAAGGTTTTGGTCTTGCTGATAGGGCGAGACTGCTCGAGCTGGACGAAATCCCCAACCTTGAACTGATTATCGGGGTCATGGGCCTGATACTTCTTCTTCATCCGGACACGGCGCTTGTACTTGGGGTGAGGTGCAAGGCGGATGACTTCCACGGCCACTGTCTTATCGTTGGTTGCGCATACTACGCGGCCCTGGAGCTTCTTCATGGCTTGGATGGAGAGAGACGAGGGAGCAGGAGGCGGATAGGAAGAAGATGGGATGGGAAGTTTGGGAGAACGAGGAATGGAACCATTGAGGAAACTGGACGGGTGAGCTGCCTGAGAGTACGGGGCTCTGAGGAATGAGCCTGGTAAGCCAAGCATGGTTGCAGTTTGGGAGATGGAGATAAGGGTGAGGAGAATATATCAAGCAAAAAAATAATTAGAGAATTTACATAAACACAACATAATTTTTATATATTTAATTATCTAACACTTAAAGTGTATATATGCAACATTTAAATCTAATAAATCTAACTAAAAATGTGTATTTCACTTCAAAAAATTTAATAATAGTGATATTATTAATGCAATATTAAAGATTTGAGTATTATGCTAGTAAATATGCAAGTTTGGGGCTAGACATGTAAATACATAAGAATTTTGTGTTATGTGTAAATGCACCAAATAATTAAACTTAACATATATTTTCTATTAAAACAAGAGAGCAAGTAAGCTTGGTGGAGAAGTTTACTGAAGCAACAATCATTTTCTTCTTCATCTACTTGATTATTGTTGAGCAAATCGCTTCCTCTCCTATTTTAAGATAGTAGAGCAAATAATTTGAGGCTATGAAGTAGCTATGAAAATAATGATTTGTCATTGAATACATTATTGTGTTCTTTTATTCATTGAAAATGTTTCATTTTTGAACACTCACAAAAATGGCAAGTATTTATCCCAAAACATTGAGATAAACCGACTTAGCTACCAATCAACCTTGCTTTTTGACAACTTGTGAGGGGGGACATCTCTTGAATTTGACTTTACAAGAATCATATTTTTGTCTTTCACTAAGAGAGTCCAAAGCTCTTCTAAATTTTCTCCATTGTACTTTGAAGCGGGTTTAGAGTGAATATAGTTTTTCAATAGATCAAACTTTTCTTAAGGGTTTTAAATATGATGAACCGAACTAATTATTCATAAGCATTTTATCAAAATTGAATTTGATGTTCTAACATTTAATCTCTTTAAATATTTTACACAACATTATAGTAAGTCTGGCCAACATTCCTTAGTTTGAATGACATGATATTGTAAAAGTAGAACATGTCATTAGTGATGCAAGCAACCTTCTCCACATTAGTTTGATACATTTTGATTTGATGATAAATAAGAAATGTGTCAGTAAAGATCCTTGCTATAAAGATTATTATCAATTTGAAGTGAGTAATAAATCATGCCAGTAATTCTCCTTAGGACAAGTCAAATTCAAGTTAGTGAAAATGGTACATCTCATACTTCTTGTAATTCTTTGTGCTATGATGATGGTTGATATTTAGTTAAAGAAATGAAATTTATAATAAAATAAACTTTCAGAGGCTTCCAAACCTCATAAAAATGAGCTCACCCAAAGTTATGGAAATTAATGAAATCTTTATTTAATTGGCATTTAGCTATTGATATGCAATCGATGGCATGCTAAATTGATGTCCACACCTAGCAAGTTGGCTATGGACTAGGTAAAAACATTTATATGGGATTAAAGGAAATTATTGTATTAATCTCTCAATGCTTTAAATCAAAGAAAGTGTTGTGGTAGAAGTATGATTTCAGTCATCATCTTAAGTAAAGTCTTGTTCAATGTTCTCTAAGTTCTTAAGGTTGTCTTTCCTTTAGTCTATCGAGTTTTACTATTTTTGCTTGGATTTTATTGCCTTCATTTAGCATGCCCAATATTTTAACAATATTCCATCAATAGTAAGAATTTTAAAATATCACTACAACTTTTAATTCAATATGGTATTCTTAGATGACTACTTTAAAAGTGTTCATTATTGGTCAACTAAAATTCTCTTAATTAGTTGTTAGGGTATTTATTGTGAAGAACTGTCCATTGCAATGTACAAAAGGTGATATTTTTTAGATGTGATTTGTAACATCACCTAGTGCTCGGTCTTCGTAGGATTGCCACAAAATTATATATGAGACTCATAATAGAAATTTTTTTGAAAGAATCAAGATTCAGTTAAAAAAAATGTTTAAAGTTGGTATAAATAAAAATCTTATGTTGAACCAGATGCCACTAATCAAATAGTTAGTGATAATCTCATTAATAATGATATTGCCAACATAAAGTTTGATGATTTATAACCAATTAACATTAGTTTTAAAGAATAAAAATGGTGATTTGATGAAAAGTTAAAAAAAATCTATTTATGAAAAGAGTTATAATTTAAAATTAGTTTTGTCATCATCTTCATCATTAGATTATGTTATAAACGTCATTCAAACTTTAAAATGTCATTATCATCATTTGAATTTAAGAAAACTTTTATTTTTAGTAATAATAAAATTTTAACTTGTTTAATTAATGATGGATAAATGAAGGGAGAAAATGATCATCATTAAAGCAACATTACAAAAACATTGTCTTTCCATTTATTGTTAGCAAAATTTTGTAAGTTTATGGAAGGTGGGTAATATTTCTTTTAGCATGCTTAATTTATTTAACTTTTTGCACTTGTTTTTGAATGAAATTGTATTTTAAAGAAAAATATTTTCATGTTTTTTTTTTTTTGTTACAGGTAAAACAAGAAGGACAATTGAAGCAAATTGAAGCAGAAATAGAGTGAAATGGAGGCAATTAGAGCAAATGCATCTGCCAGTAGATTGGCCCTTAGGCGCCATTTTCTGGCACCTAAGCGCTGGCCACTAGCGCCATGGTGCCACAGACTCGCGCCTAGGTGTCAGTGTCCTCCCATCAAACCGAGAAAACGACGCTTAGGTGCCAAAACTGTCTGAGGCGGTTTCAACACTCCCCAAGGAGTTATCTGACGAATCAGGATGGTTGGGGTGGCACTTCTTAGCATTTCCAAGTCCTATAATTCTCTAGGAACGCCAAGAGGTCATAGATAGAAGTAGGTATTGTAGTTTTTTACCTTTTCTTAAGAGATTAGAGAGGGGATTCCAGTGAATTATGAAAGAGAATTGTATTAGCATTGCAAGGAGCAGTTAGAGGGATTTTCATTTCTTTTTCAGAGAGGAAAAACTAAGCATTGTGTTCTTTATTGTTTTGTTATTGTTGTAAACACATATTTAGTGGATTTGCTTTAATTTAATGAAATTTTATGTTGTGTTAAAAATGCTTTGTGAGTATAATCTTTGCACTTTTCTCTCGTGATAATTATGTAAAATTTGTAGGATGAAGATTACTATATAATTAATATTTTAATCTTAATGTGATGGTTTTTACTTCATGCTTAATTTACTTAGCAATTTGATCAATTGGTATGTTAAAATCTGTTATGTATTTATAATTACTCGAGAGAGCTATGACTTTAATAACTAGGAGAAACCACATTGCACTAAAAGGTGAAGGAAAAGTAGTTCATAGGGCAATGCAAATAGATAGAAAAACGGGCTTTGATGAGTTTAATTTGGTTTTTCTGGAGTGACTGAAAAAAACACTAACCAAGTTTGAACCAAACTTCTTTATGCACTCGAAAGAGGGTAAAAAAGTGATTTGCTCCTATTTGTCACTACAACAGCAACAATTCTTAGTGATTAAACCTACATTCTAGTTAGTCAATTATAAGAGAAAAGTTATTGTATCAACCTTGAATTTGATCAAACCAACTGCTCAAGATAGGTTTAATTTAGACTTAGCATTGTAATCTAGGAGTAGTTGTTAGGAAACCACTTATCAACCTTCCAAACTAGGACCTGAAAGTAATATACTAGAACTTAGCCTAAGGAATTAACTACCTCACTTCCCTGTAGGATTGACATTCCAGACTCATTTGAGCCCTATATTACTAAAATGATACATATTCTTGTGTGATAAACCACAGTGAGTAATATTACCTAATTTTAAGAAATCAATTAATTTGCTAGGGAGCAGATCAAGTTTCTCGTGCTATTATGAGGACTTACATAATTGTGACACTCAGTTGGGCGGATCAAGTTTCTGGCGTCGTTACCGGGGAAGTGACGGTAAGAAAAACTTTAGGAGAATTTTAGCTGAACCTAAAAGACATAGATTTGTAAATTGTAGCGTTATTATCTAGTGTATTTGATTATTGTGTGTTTATTTTAAAGAAAATCCAAAATACAAAAAATACTTTTGAGTGCTTAAAGTATTAGATATTTATCCTATTAGCTAAGTCTTTATAGTTGAATGCGTAGTTCAGAAGCCGCAAATCTTGAACCATACGACTCATAACTAGAAAAAAAATTTAGGAGGATTAGGAAATAGAAGAGAGTCCAAAAAATTGTTGTGGAAATGGCAGATCAACAAGTTTATGAAGATCCAGTCTTGGATTATAATGCTAATAGATCTTTGAGAGATTATGTGAATCCTACGGTGGAAGAAATTCACTTAAGTATACAAACCCCCACCGTAGAGGCTAATGCCTTCAAATTTAAGCCTACTATAATTCTAATGGTGCAAAATAATCAATTTAAAGGATCTCCGTCTGAAGATCCTAACTTAGATTTAGCGAGTTTCTTAGAAACATTCAAGTAGAACAGTGTCTCCAGTGATGTTGTTAGACTTAGATTTTTTTCCTTTTTCCTGAGTGATATAGCCAAAAAGTGGCTTAATTCATTAGAAATGGGTTCAATTAGAACGTGGGTGGATTTAAACCATAAATTTCTAGCTAAGTATTTTCCAACACCTAAAATCGCTTAGTTGAGGAATGATATCATGTCAATCTGTCAACATGAAGGTTAATTAATTTATGAGGCTTGGGAACAATTTAAAAAACTTCTTAGGAAGTGTCCACATCTCACATTGTCTGATTGACTTATTATTCAAACCTTATGTAACAGATTAGTTTGATCTCTAAGAGTAATCATCAACGCTGCTGCTGGAGTATGTCGAAATCAATTGAGGAGGCTTATTTTCTTATTAAGGATATGACTACCAACAAGATTCAATGGCCCTCCGATAGAGTAACCCAAGAAGGTAACAAATTTTCTTGAAACATATGTGCTGACTATTTTAACTTTTTAAGTAGCATCTATTGCAAGAAAGCTAGACCAATACAGAATGATTCAACTTCAAGGACCTCCATTCATTGAGGAAAATTCTTTTGAACAGTTGATTGATACTAACTCTTTTGAAACTATCCCTGTGACAAACAATCTCTCAAATAGCTCTTATTCTAATGATTACAATTCAGGCTGGAAGA